CTTGGCATTCAGACAAATCAGCCATCAATAGACACATAGAGATAAACCACATTTACACACCGTTCAAAAGAGATAATAAAAAAAGCTAAGGAGGAAACAAAAAGACTAGAACACATCCTCTCCAGCAGCCAACACCCAGATAAGCAGGGATTAACACTAGACAAACAATCAAGCAGAAAGCAATACCCTAATCAAGGAACTACCAAGAAGAAAACCACACCCCCACCAACACTGGCAGGGGAAGCTACTATATAAACAGAGTAAATCCTACACTCACTAACACTGATGATGGTACCTGGTCAGGTAATGAAACATCTGCAAGCAAACAACCAAGCTTAGAGAGTACCAAGGACTCCACAGTTCAACCCTGAGCTACATATATTCTCTTCTAATCAAACCACATAAAGCATTTAATATGTGGTCTACAGCTATGTCTTCTCTAATTTCTTCAGCTACAGAAAGCTTAGAGTCCAGGAGGTGAGATTCTGACTGGAACGAGACACATTCTTGTTAAGAATTAGGAATGCTGGCCTTGATTAAGGAAGAGTACAAGATACATTAGATTTAAATAGTCTCTGAGTGACATGGACCAAATGTAGTCTATATCCTTGATCTAGTACATCTTACCTGCTTTCTAAACTGATCCTGAATTTCCAGAGAATAGGCAGAGCTTAAGTCTTCCAGAGATTCGTTGTACTCTCTGTTAGTAACCCTCACCTGGGTTTCAACAATAATGGTCACAGATACTAAAAGAGAGGAAAAGAGGTGTTCACATGAGCTTCAACAAATTACTTCCCAGCAAAGGAATTCTAAAATGTGACAGGCAAGAGGTGAATATGTTGGCATTCTCCAACACCATTTCAAATGCCCAAATCCCAAGATCCCCTGTGCTGCTTGAAAGCTCATTTTTGATTTACTGGGAAAAGGAAACAGCTTATGACCAATCAGGTATTTCTGAGGCAGTCTCCAAGTCCAACTCCATGATTCTCCTTAGATGAAGAAACTTTATTCAGCACAGAACAGGCAGTATCTTTTCACCTATTCACAAGGCCTCTGTAGCCATGTGAAAAGAAAAGAAAAAAGCCCAATAGCTCCAGATTAATCTTTTTAGCTTGGAGCTGGCGAACACACAGGCCTCTGTAAACCATCCTTCCCAGATAGGTGGAACTGGGAACAGGAAGTTGGCTATTTTTTAGCTGCACCTGCCCTACGTGCAGCACATAGGTTCTATTAGGCCACATTTTCCAAACCTGGTTCCTTCCAAATGCATTCTCCTTATTTTAGTATGATAATCCAACATATCTGGAATGCAAGCAGTTTGAGAAAGCTGTACCAGGCTGTCATCTGGAAAGAACGATCAAGCTCTTCTTGATTGTACTTACAATCTTTGACAGGGATCTCATCC